TCACTGAGCCATCACACTGGAGCCCAGCAGTCAAATTTCTTGCATAAAATGCAGGCATCCCATATGGGAGCTGGCTGAAATTCTGGCTGCTTCCCTTCCCATCCAGCTCCATGCTTGAGGGTTGGGAAAGCTATAGATGATGGTCCATAGCCTTCCCATGTGGGAGACCCAGAAGAAGCTCCAGTTCCTGGTTTTGGATCAGTTCAGCTTTGACTAATACTTCATTTGGGGAGTGAACCAGTAGATGGAAGATCTTTTTCTGTCTCTCCTCTCTGTAAATTTGCCTTTCAAAAAATAACATAAATCTTTCTTTAAAAAAAGATGTAATAAATATAGAAATGTTTTAAGAGAATTTACTTTAATATTACTAATGTTTGAAAAGTAATTGATTTTTGAATAGAAATGTACATGATATAAAATTCAAGAAAATGCATAAAGTTATACAGGGAAAATGCATACAATGCAACAGTTTTTGGTTCATCTACTGCAGATACTCTGAACATGCAGCTCATATATAACCCCCATGCCTTCAAATAGTCAATCAGCAAATGTTTTCAAAAGGAGTCTATCAGTCTCCTCACTGAGACACTCTATGCCCTAGGACCTGTAAAGATGTAGGGTGAGCATTTCATTTTGGGAATATTGATTTATGTTTCCTCAGGGACAATTTTTTCTTTTAATTTTATTTTGTAACTTAAAAAAATATATGATTTTTACTCTTTAAAAAGCAGAGTGACAGCAAGAGTGAGGGCAAGAAAGAGCTCCATTCACTGATCTAGTCCCTAGTGGCCACAAAGGCTGGGGCTGTGGCTGGGCCAGGCCAAAGCCAGGAGCCATGAACTTCAATCTGGTCTCCCACATGGGGGAAGGGTTCCAAGTACTTGGCATATCCTCTTTTTTTTTTTTCTTAAAGATTTATTTATTTATTGGAAAGTCAGATACAGAAAGGAGGAGAGACAGAGAGGAAGATCTTCCGTCCGATGGGTCACTCCCCAAGTGGCCGCAATGCTATGCCGATCCGAAGCCAGGAACCAGGAACTTCTTCCTGGTATCCCACACGGGTGCAGGGTCCCAAAGCTTTGGGCTGTCCTCCGCTGCTTTCCCAGGCCACAAGCAGGGAGCTGGATGGGAAGTGGAGCTGCCGGGATTAGAACCGGCACCCATATGGGATCCTGGTGCGTTCAAGGCGAGGACTTTAGGTTCTAGGCCATGCCGCCGGGCCCCTTGGCATATCCTCTTATGTCTCCTCAGGTGTATTAGCAGGGAGCTGGATTGCAAATATAGCAACTGGGACTTGAACCAGCACCCAAATGAGATGCTGTCATTATAGGTGCCACCTTAACCCAATAAACCACAATGCCAATCCTCTTTTACAGGCTCACAGTAACTAAGTAATCATCTCATCAAACATACCAGAAAGGGGTAGGAGTAAAACTGGGTAAGGGGCAAGTTAGGGAAAGGAAGGTGAATTTGCTGATACTGTTGTCAGATTATAAATGCAATGTCTCAGTTTTTTCTAACCCTCTGGAAAAGGGTTAGTACTCTTCCCCATTTTCCATATGAGAAAATTAAGGTACACAAAGGTTATATGAGTCACCCTAACTAACGTAACTGGAAAGTTAAAAAGACCAAGATTCAAGGATGATTTTGAAATCCCAAAGCCAGTAACTTTCACCTAAAGAAGGGGCCAAAGGGATGCAGGTGTAAGAAGGGTCAGAGCAGCCAAATTCCCAGCTATGCTCAATGTTTTAGGAAAGGAAGGGCAATACAACCTGAAGCCCCAGCATTTATAACATAAACAACAGCACCCACAGGCATGCTGACAGCCTTCTCTGTCTCCACAGCTCTTCAGACATGCCAGCTCTTGGCTGTCACAGGTTTTCAATGTTCACAGAGGTCAGCTCTAACACAAGTGCACAGTGCTGACAGCAGGCAAGGCATTCCTTTGGGATAGGCAGACTATACCCAGTGCTATTTTAGTCTTTCCAGAGAAATCTCACCTCTGTGACTAAGTGGAAACCAGTTGTAATCACTTGAGCTCATTGCTAAGATGCTTGCAAATGAAAATTCTTGAATAAAAAAAACAAATATGTTTATCAGTCTTGGTGTTGCTACTAATGGGCTTAGTGGTTTGTGCTGTGATAAGAAGCATCAATAGACAGCATGGCTGAAACAAGTGGCTTTTGCTGCTCATGGCTCAGCAGGCTAGAGTCCAAGCCAAGGTGCTGCAGGCTCAGTCCTTAGTGAAGATTTTTCTCTTGTTCACAGGTGGCTAGCTTGTCGCTCTGTCCTTCCAAGACAGAGAACGAGAGTGCATGTGTGCAAAAACAATGCTAGTCATTTGTTCTTTTTAGAAGGACACTGATTCCAGTGTGAGGGCTGCACCTTCATGACTCATCTAATTTGCTTCCGAGGTCCCCTGCTTCCAAGTTCACAACATTGAGATTAGGATTTCATAAATGAATTTCCAATAGACACAAACATTTGGTCCAGGACACCACCAACAACAAAATAATTCATACAGAGTTGAGCAGTTGGCATGGTACATTCACGCAAATTGCCTTGTTGGAAGTTCAGGTGTGAATTCGCTGTTTCTTAATTTTCCCTGTTTTATTGCTGAAAAGCAATTGAGGAGCATTTGGTGACTTCCCAAGGTCACAAAACTAGCACACAGCAACAGTGGGGTGCAAAATCAAATCTCTCATTCAGGTGCCTTTTTTTTTCAGCCATTCTGTTCCGAGTAGTTAGGAATGATAACGCAAAACAGAAGCAACTGTAATTATTTAGTGATTTAGTATGTGCTGGTCTTTGAAAATATTATCTCTTGGTGTAGTTTTCTATTTTTTAGCTCTAAGAGAACTTAAAATGATCAGGGTTGAGCAGCTTGCAAAATCACATAGTTGGAACATGATAAAGCAAGTATCTGGACCAGGTCTGACTGAATCTAGAGATTATGCTGTTATTAAACCATTCTGCTAAAGTGGCCTTTCAAATTCTCTTTGAAAAATAGTATGTAGGATGAAAATATTCTCTTAGACATATTTATTAAGATTTTAGTCAGAAGTGGATTTCATGCCCTTTAAAAGCATTAGTGTTCTACAAATTCTATTCAAAGTTCTGCTTTTAGGCACCACAGATTGAGGACAGATGTTTCTTTATGCTCTTAAAGGTCCACTCTCTGTAGCTGAATGTAGTGAGAATGCAGCTTGTTCTGAATGTTTCAGAAAAATGGAATCAAGCCGATCATTCCAAATGAGAACCAAATCAAAAGAGTTATTACAGAGATTTGATGGAACAAAAGTCCAACACAGTTGGTTATTACTCAGTGGTAAGGGTGGGAACTTTTCATCTGAGAATTTGTTCTCAGCTACACAGATATTCTCAGTTGTGCTCCACCCAAACACTAAGCTTGAGGTCAGAGAACTGAATGTGTTTGATTGAGATTCATGTGATGGGAAAGGTGGGGGCACATGGGCATGGGAGGGGTGCTACTTATTGGGGTGAGGTAATGCTAAACCACATTCCAGTAAAATAAGGAATTCAGACATAGAGAGTGATGGAATGTTTCCTGGACTACTCACATAAACAGACGCTTTCTGTGAATTCAGACAAGTTATACTTTAATGCCTCCGTATATTTTAAATACTCATTTGGGAAGAATGATTAGCTCTCTAGGTAGTATTTCATAGTTTCTGTTGTGTGTTGTAGCCATGACTGCTACTCGTGAAAAGCTTTTCAAGGTCAACCACAAGTGCACTTGACTTACGACTGACTTAGTGCATTTACTTGTATTTTCTAGGGAACTCTTGCATCTTAGAGGCATTCACTTCCATTCTCATTGTCCTGAAAAGACAACTGAAACCCAGTGGGGGCTAGTGACATTTTGAAGCCCAACTTCAGCATTCCTTGAAAGTCAAAAGGGTCTTATATTTCAAGAGAGTGTTTACAATTTTGGTTGAGGTTTTCCTTAGTATTTAAAAACCCAAACTGTGAGATCAGATTTGCATTCCACACTAGATTGCTTAGATTACTGTTTGCCCATTGGAAAAGTCACCAAGTTTACCCATCTGTTTCCTCACCTGTAGAATGGGTGAAATTTTTTTTCTGATTAGCCTCCTATTATGCACTAGGCCCTCCAAGAACGCACCGGAGCACTACCTCCTCATACCACTTCCTGGCCCAGGAGCTTTTAATGATTTCTCATTGTTTCAATAGATTGTCAATAAAAGTATCTGCTAGTAGTTTCTGGCATATCCACTTGCCTCTAGGCATTCTGAGTGATGGAATACATCTTGCCAAAGGTGGACTTCCTGCTCTTCACTCGTTCATTATCTGCAATGCCATAGGTGCCATACTTGTTGAAGGAGATAAAAATATAAGCAAGAACTGATAATTGATAAATAGCTTGACTACCTTGGTATAAGGTTAAGTTTCGTGGAAAAATGGAATTAAAAGCAAAAATAATTATAAACTTTATTTTTTAAATATAAGCTCTATCAGGTTGATGACAGTTTTGTAAGGAATGTTTTGGGCCATTTTGTTTATTCATAAAGAACTGAGGCCTAGGAAACTTAACCATGTCCCTGCAGCCTTTTGAAATTATTAGCTCATGAAAGATAGGTGTTCTTTATAGATTTTTTGTTTTAAGATTAGAAAGCAAAAATAAGTCAGAAGGAAGCAACTGAAGACAATAAGGTGACCAGTGATTTTCCATCAAAATCCTTATGAAATTGCCATTTATTGACAAGAGAAACAAACAGGAGAATTAGCGTGCTGGATAAGGGCTTTCTGGTGACACATTCCAGGTGTTCTTCTGCTAAACCTTTCTCAAAAAACTTTTTTAAGAAGTAAACATTATCTGCAGAGAGTCAACAAGCAAAATGCCTTGAGTTGTATATTCCCAAAAATCGTTGCCAGGAGTTTTTCTCTTAATTGTGCACTTTGGTGTTGATGGGATTATGTCCACTTTTCAGTGGTCATTGGTTTCACTGTGCTTTTAGGTCTCGGTGTTTAGGCCTCCCAGTAGGCCCCAGGTCACCGAGGGTGGGGAGATCATGTTCTTCAGCCCACAAGAACCACCAGAGACAAGCTGGTGAGGATTGTCCACTTTATTACACACAGGTTACAGATTTAAAAGGTAAGGAAGGGGAGGGCAGGAGGGAGCCTTCCAGCAGTCTCCTGCCCACCCCTAAAGATACTGTAATTAGCTGTATGATACGTCTATTTCCCTAGATCTTCCGTTCATGTCAGAAGTCATGTTCCATGTGTATTCCCCTTGACCTTCCAGCCATGTTGGAGGTCACACTCCACATGTAGAACTGAAAGCTGTGCCTCAGGCAATGGGGAATTAAGCTTTAGGCCACACCCACAAGGCAATAGGGCAGGGGCCTGGGGTGATTGCCCATACTTAGGATTGTACATTTAAGGACCTGTTATATCTCCTGTTAATTCTTCAAATATATATTGATATTGATATTCACAAAGGATCCAGTGTCCTCTGATGTGTCCCCTGTCTTGCCCAGGAGGGCCAGGAAGCACTGGTTCCCTAGAACAGTACCTTGGGGTGCACAGTGCTGAGCCAGTGCAGTGTGCAGGCGGTTTCCAGGGGCTACCTCTCTTCACAGAAGATGGAGTGATGACAAAGCAGGACACTCCTGCCCAATATCCCCATATAACTAAAAATGAGAACAGCACTAGACGGAAGTTTGAAAAACCCAATGTATGAACCAAAAATGAATCCCCCAGCTTCTAGAAGGGTCTGCAGGGTCAGTGGCAGAGTATGGGGAGCCAGCAGTGATGAGACCCCTGCACATAGGGCCTGTCATAGATATGAATCCCTTGAATCTTAGCCCTTGGAAGCCCCATACTGGGGGACTTAAATGACCAGGTCAGGACTCAAAGGGAAAGCCTACCAATGGCTGTGGGTATGAAATGTCTTGAAGAGTCCTAGAGGCTGCCTTCTTCCATGTTTTTAGGCTTATAGGGACCTGTATTATGGGGTGAGGCTTGAGGGAAGGATGTATGGACTTGGTATTAGAAGGGCTGGTCCAAGGCCATATGCAAATCCTAAGGCTCATCCTAGGGGCCACTGGCCAAGCACCAACAGATCACGGCTGGGCTGTAGAATGAGTCTGGGGACATAGCAGTGGATGAAAACAGAAGAGTCCATTAGGGCCTCTGGCTAGACATCAGAGGCCCAGAGATACCTAATAGCCACGAGGAGAGGACACAGGAGCGTCTCACTAGACTCAGCAGGCAGAAGTCCCCAAACACCCATACCAACTCTTTCTTCAAGCTATGGCTCCCTTGGGCATGACCTAAGAGAGACTCAGAGGCCTGTGTTGTCCTGAGACTGCCTGGTGAAACCTAACGTGGTGCTCCCCAACCACAGGCAGCGGCATGGGCCAGGGTGGGCTGTAGTTCTGTGGAGCAGGTCTGGTCACCACTACTTTGCCAACTTCACTGAGGGTTCAACCCAGACTGTCTCCAAGGCACCCAGGAAGGAGGCCAGGAAAAACCCCTTGGCTCAGTCAGAGCGGGCTGTAGAGCTCATCTTGAGTGCTGCAGAGCAGCCAGCCAGGACTCGGGAACCAAGACAAATAGATCCTAAGTGCACACTTGTCTGGCACATGCTGGGACCTACATTCTCCCAGCCACTTTCCTGCTTGCTCAGAAATGCCACAGTGTCTGTCCTGGGGAGTGAGGGATTTAAATTTCCTTTGGAAGATTTACTTTTCTCTGCAGCTGATCTAGCGCAATATTTGACACCCATAGGGCAGAAAGCATACTCCACTTTAATTTCTCAGCCAGAATTATGAAAGCTGAACTGTTGGGATGTTGTTTATGCTCCTAATCATCAGTCCTCTTCAATTAGGACACAAATAACATGGCTACTTTCCTCACAAACTGAAGTGATGGTTCCCACGATGGACTTCATCTTGAACCTTGTCTTGTTCTGAGAATGAATTATTTACTTCTACTACTAATTAAACTGAGGCATTGTCCCCGTAAGCTTTTCATAAAGGGTTGATGATTCTCCCACCCAGGTTTCACAAAGAGTTTAATAATAATAATAATAAATAATGCTAATAATAATTTTTGCCTCATTATTAGCAGAACTCATTTTGGTGTGATAAGGGCTCTTTTGTTCTCCTTTGTGCCTCAAATTTGATCTTGTTCAGACCTGTTATATAATAATTGTTACTTGTTTATTTTGGTGTAAAAAAATTTTTGAGATCCTTGTTTGGCTTTCCCCCCCAATACTACACGTTTTTGGTGAATATTTTGATGACTCTTTGTAAAAACATCTAACTCCAATTTGGGGGAAGGGAGGTAGTTAGAAATGTTACAAAGTGCTGTTTCATGTTAGTTTTGATGAAGTGAGATACGTCAAATTTCTATATAAAGAAAATCTCTGGTTCAGGAAATGGCCTTGGCAAAGACATGGAGGTATGAAAGGCTTGGCACAGAGGATTGCCTTGCCTTTTGTGTGGTGGGCCTAAGGGAATGCATGTGGGAAGTCCAGCACTGCCTGGAAGAATTGGATTCTGGCCAAAAGAAGGCCACTGGGGTCAGGTCACATTGCTGTTCCGTTGGATCCATAGTGCACTAAGCAACAAGAGCATTCAAACGTCCAGTAAGTCACAGTAAATGGCGGCATTTGACAAGGTCTTGCCATCAAGGTACAAACTAAGGTTTGGATGAGCAATTGCTCAGAGGTTAACATGCCACTTGGGAGGTTGATGCTGTGGTGTAGTGGATAAATCTGCAGCTTATGGCACTGGCATCCTATATGGGGACTGATTTGAGTTCTAACTGCTCTAGTTCTAATTCAGCTTCCTGCTAATGTGCTTAGGAAAGAGTGGAGGAAGACACAACTACTTGGGCCTTTGTACCTATGCGGAAGACCTAGAGGAAGTACTGGTTTCTGGCTTTAGGTGTACCTATACGTAAGACCTAGAGGAAGTACTGGTTTCTGGCTTTAGGTGGGCCCAGCTCTGGACATTGCAGTCAGTTAGAGGGTGAACCAGTGGACGGAAGATCTCTCTCTGACCTAGCTACTGGCTGTCATAGCCATTCAGAGGAGTGAGCCAGCAGATGGAAGAGCAAGCTCTCTCTGCCTTTATTCTCCGCTTTCCAAATAAATGGAAATAAATCTCTACGAAAAAAGCCACATAAGATCAACATGGTTATATTTTTTTCTGTTGACACATTTCCAATCTGTGGCTTTTGGTTTCGTCTTCTTTTTTTCGAATTTCCACAACCCAGAGCTATGAGAGACAAGACCTTTTTGTTGAATTCATACTGTCTGACTATAGTGGGAACGGATGAGGATGTAACTGTGGTACAGGGTATCAAAGGAGACCTTGGCACCTTGTTTTCTGTAGATCCTAGTGCTGCTGGTAAAGTGCTCACTGACAGACCATCTACCATCTAGGGAGATGTTCGTTCCATCCAGGGCATCGTGTAGCTTTACATGATGGGAGGGACCAAGAGAGGAAAGGCAGGGCCCAGGGGCTCCTGGTGTGCTCAGTTCTCCTTTTGGCTCCAGTACAATCGTCTCATTCAGGGGGAACATTCCCTTCAAGTGCTGGCCAGTCAGAAGAGCAGATGGCTATGGAGAATCTCAGAACTGGGCATGAGGCTTCTGTGAGACACAGATGTTAAAGTAGTAGTTATGAAGGGAATGAATATCTCAAAGTGTGTGAAGTGTGTGCCAGTTGCCATGGGAATACCCAAGGCAGGATCTTTGCATGGATCTGGTCAAAGACACTTCCCCAGGAAGTGGCCATTTACACAAAGGACTGGCAAATAAAAGTCAGCTAGGCAAGGGTGATAAAGAGGAGCCTTCTAGGCTGAGAGAAAAGATGTGCACAAAGCAAGGTGGGGAAGGGCAGGCTTTGAAATATTTCCTACCGAATTTGTAGAGAAACTTATAACAAGTAGTGAATAACCGCTAGGATCAGAGAAGTCTTTTGCAAACAATCTTCCCAAGACTTTGTTGGGTTTGTTTCTGTGATGGTAGGACCATGTTTTTGCACATTCCTTCCACCCCTTGTATCTTCAGTACCCAAGACTGGATTTGGGAAATAGCAGATACCTACTATTTGCAGAATAACATCTACATTTTACAGAAGAGGAAGCTGAAGCTCAGGTGGCCGAGGTTAGTTAAGAAATACAGGTGATAGGATGCCATTTTGGCACTGATGCGTGAAAGACCAACATCCCATTTGGGTACTGTCTTATATCTGGCTACTCCATCCAGCTCTGTGCTGGTGACCTGGGAAAATCAGCAGAAAATGATCCAAGTACTTGGGCCATTGCACCTATTGGGGGACCTGGAAGAAGTTCCTGGCTCCTGGCTTCAGCCTGGCCCAGCTCCAGCAATTCTGGACATCTAGGGAGGGAACCAGCGGATGGAAGAACTCTGTCTCTTCCCCGTCTCTCTGTGGTTCTTTTAAGTAAATAAACAAATATTAAAAAAGAAAATACAGGTGAAAATAGGCCTCACATCTAGGTTAGAGTTGGGTGCCTTTTGGAACCTTAAAATAACTTGTCTTCTTCCAGATACAGCAGTGTCTAAGTGTAGTCTTTGAACAGCTCTGGGATGGAGACCAAAACATACAGATCCAGGATGGCTCACAGCATATCGGATGACTGGGAAGGCTAGTCTGCCTTTGGAGTTGACATTCGGGTGGTGCAGTTTCCTTTGTCCAAACAAAGCTGGCAAAGGCAGACAGCATTCTCTCACTGTTAGCCTGTTAGCTGACTTTATACTCACGTCCACAGCCCCATGCAATGGAATCCTTAAAACTTCAAATGTAGGCATCTGTTTGCCCCAGGTCAGAGTATGGACTGCATGCCATTGGCAAAGGGTCAGTCTGCTTTGAAGCTTTGGTATGCAAGTCCAAGTGGACCAAGTGTCTCACAAATCAGCTGCTAACAACTTGGGCACCTTAAGACATTTCTCCTCACTGGGGACTGACTGTAAGAGCATCATCAAGGCCCTGCCGGGATGTTCCTAAGTGACTTCTCATCACAGGACACAGTCTGTCGTGATGGGAGGCCCTGTAGAACAGCCCTTGAAGATAATTCCATTCCATTTCACTTGCTCTGAAGTTTTAGGATCTTCAGCGA